CTTGAGCCCAGGAGTTCGAGGCTGCAGTGAGCCATGATCACGCCACGGCACTCCAGCCTGGGCAACAGAGTGAGACCCTGTCTCTAAAGACAAAAGCAACAACAGAAACCTGAACCAAGAGAACAAATGATCGTGTGAGCTGTGGCTAGGATGGTGGGCCCAGAGGTGTTTATTAAGCTTGTCTTCTGTACTCTTCTGAATGTTTGAACGATTTCAGCGTTTTAAAAAGCACCCATCTGTGGCTCTGCAGGGCTCTTGGAAGAAAGTCTGTCCCTTATCAAGGAATTTAAAGCCTTGTATGGCCTGCTCCCTCGTGACCTCTTCCAGCTTGACTCACCCTCCTCCTCTCCACCCAAGGAATGAACTGTCTTGCCTCTTTCCTTCCTTCATTTCCTGTTTAGCACCCATTCCCTGAGTGTCTGCCCTGTGCTGGGAGCTGGGGACACAGTGGTGACTGAGACAGCCCCAGCCCTGTCCTCCTGGGGTTTGCAGTCCAGTGAGGGACACAGATCTGTTCCCAGACAGGGACGACCCAGAGCAGGCAGGGGTGAGGTGTGGGAACCCAGGGGCTGTGGGAGCCTGAGGGTCAGGGAGGGCTTCCTGGAGGAGGGGGCATGGGGCTGAGTCCTGAAGTGTGAAGCCTGAAGTCCTGACTGGAGCATGGAGAAGAGGTGTCTATGTAGAAGCACCAGCAGATGCTGAAACCTGGAGGGTCCTGGGGTAAGGAGGAGGCTACGGGACAGCGCTAGTGAGGTATGCAGCTGCCAGAGCATGAAGACTGTGGTGACAGGCCTCAGCTTTGTCCCGAAGTCACTAGGGAGCCATGGAAGGCTTAAGAGATGGAGAAGAGCAGGTCTGTGCTTTTTCAAGGTCCTGAAAGGTGCACTGGAGGTGCTCAGACTAGAGGCTGGGGACCAGGGAGGAGGCCAGGGCAGGGAAGTGGGTAAGGGTTCCGCTTGGGGTAGGGGCTATGGGAAGGGAGTGAAAGGAGGGAGCGCAGACTGAAGAGAGGCTTAGGAGATGGAATGGGCAGGACTCAGGAAGCTGTGAAGGCAGGGACTGGGGCTGCCCTGGCCACCGCTGTGTCCCTAACACCTGCACAGGGCTGGGCCCATGGCAAATACCTAGTAAATTTTTTTGTTTTGTTGTTTTGTTTTTTGAGACTGAGTTTTGCTCTATCTCCCAGGCTGGAATGCGGTGGCACGATCTCAGCTCACCGCAACCTCCACCTCCTGGGTTCAAGCAATGCTCCTGCCTCAGCCTCCTGAGTAGCTGGGATTACAGGCGCCTGCCACCACGCCTGGCTT